TATTTCCATTCAAAGACATGTGTAGAACACATAAACTTTCATTATGTGAATTACGTAATCTAACACATTATGCCAAATAAATGACACAAATTGAAATGTTAATCTGATTACAATGAGAGAAAAAAGATTGATTCAGTTAGCCAGAAATCATACCATTGGATATAATACTATATTCAATGGCTTGTCTAATGAATGCGAGAACAAATCTATTAATGTTTTAGGTACAATAGAAACTGAGATCAGTGGAACTTGAAATTTGTAAAATACGTCATTATGACCCTATCTCGTTTATTTGCTAGATAGACTACATATGGTATAAGGAAACGATCAGTAACATATGACTGATATCAATGGAGAGACCAACGATCCCTACTGATTAAATATGCGGCAACAAAACTTATAAATACTCATTCAGCTTTCATCAAGACTACAGTTGGATTTTATTCTTCTCTTGTAAGCATTTGCACTAGTAACTAACTTGGAAATACAGAAACCAAAAATGTTTAGGAATTTTTTGTTAGAATTTATTAGTTTCATCACCATTCTAACTGACTGATTCAAGAAACAATCAGTATACTAGCAGCCATTTGACTGTCTGTCAAGAAAATAATAAACACTTAAGACAAGAAGAAAAATGAATTCTATATAGATAGTAAATGCTCATTTATTCCATTACAGACCATTCAAGCCTATTGACTTGAACACAGAAGGCTATACACATATATTTTTTGTTTTAAAAATCTGTACAAATGATTATTGTGTCACAAATTCCTAAGCATAGATAAATGAAAGTAGAGTGAAAGTAATGCAAGAAAAACGAAGTTCATTTTCAAAGAAACTAGTGTTTAGTGTAAAATAGTGACTTTACATAAAATTCAACCAACACACAGGATATATATATAAATACCGACTAAAGCATTCTATAGACATTCTTGTGGAATAAGAGTGCACATAAAAGAATGTCACATACATAAACAATGACAAAGAAAACTAATAACGACAACAAAATCAAAAACAACTATAGAATCAGTTTTCTTTCCTGTGTTTTTCCAACTTCGGTCTTTATCATATCGTTATGTATTAAAGATATATGGACACATACAAGTGAACATATACATACACATGTTCATATGACCGGTGTGTGATGAGCTTTTGTGGAGAGATAAGATTAATAACTTTCAATAAACCTAACAAATGTTGTCTGATAGAAGAATAAATCATGTTGGATTTGCGTAGAAGAATGAAATTAGAAATAATGGAAGAGTAGTTTGACAACACAATAAATCTCATTAAATACGAAGATAAAAATGTACACCGATCATAAACCGCTCACGAGAGCATTGAGCGCCAAGTAAGATAATTATTTTCTGAAGGAAATCCGATAGTTAGAACTTATTTCTTAGTCTACGTCTAATATACAATATATTAAAGGCCACGATAACGAAGTAAACAGATGCACTAACAAAAAGAACGATAAACGCGCCTACTTCAAGTGGGACTGATTATCACCGTCTGGGAAAATTGCAAAAGACGGACATTGAATTAAGCAAGCTAAGATACGATGACACGACTTCATATGTATTCGATGTTTGGCTCGTTAGCGTAAAAGTAATATATGATATGTCGACAAGCCTATCGCGACCGTTCATCCGAAACCATTAAGATAAAAGGTATTTGAAAGGATGCACAATATATCACATCCGGGGATAAAAGTCACTGTGAAACTAATCGGTGAAAGCTTCGTTTGGTCAAACATGAATCGGGATGTGCATAATTGGACAAAGGCATCCATGAAGTGTCAAAAAGTCAAAGTATATCGACATACTAATTCCGTTGTGCGTTCTTTCTTTCACCCAGACATTATAGTCGACTATGTGTACATTAATATCGCGATACCACTGACGATTACGAATGGCTACAACTATATTTTACATGCATCGATAGATTCACGCGATGGCCTGTAGCGGTACCGATAGAAGACATCTCAGGTGAGTCTGTAGCCGAAGCCCTAGTGGAGAATTGGATTTCTTGTTATGGAGTGCTAGTGATCATTACAACTGATAGAGGAGCTCAATTCGAAAGTCGCTTCTTCCAGCAGCTTACAGTATAGTGGCCCGATATCTGACTCCGGTTAGATCGAACAAATGATTGCTGTCGAAATAAACATCCTGGCTACCCTCGTATATAATCATCTACCTAAATAGCGTTGGTGAATAAGGGAATTAAATAAGTCAAACGCGAGAATGGATTTTTGGATACGCATATTTCGTACGATCGTTGATCGGAAAGCAATGCAAAACGAAATGACGCGAAATGGAGAAAGCAAGTAAGCCCATTCGATTTAATCAAATGTTAATCTATATTTATAATCAGATAAAACCTGCTTCCAGGTTTTCCATGGTGGTCTAGCTTCAATTGACTCATGATCTCAACTATATACAACTACTAAAATCTCCACAAAACTCCTTTCTGATATTTTGTAAATCTTTACGCCTATATGTATTATCTTTTAAAAACGATACGATATCTTTTTGTCTCCATAATCATTGTTTTTTCTGGACACACGGACGTGCGCGAACTAAGACTTCACGTAATAACATATACATTAGCATTATCTTAATTTGGATAAGTCGATATCTTCTAATAACTGTAATTGTTCTATTCAGTTTACCATCCTTTTTGCAAACGCAGACATTTTTTGTATAGCTTTGTTTGTAGGGGGGGGGGTATTATAGCAACACACCTACGATTTATTTCGATTAGGGTTGGTTTCTGCCATGCCATTTTATTAACTTAACAGGCAATGTTATTTCAACAGAAACAATTAATTTTTCTTTGTACTATTGTGATCACTCACTTGTCTATATAAACGTGTACCTCTTGATCACATGTGATAGCCTAAACACATATCTCCCTACAGCTTATATGTTGATCGCTTCAATATCGCTCAGTGAATTATTCTCTTTCCTATGTATGTATATATATGCTCGAGTCCTATTAATAGCTTTCACCTTGTTTGACTGCTCTTTGAGTCGATTTGATTATAAATCCGCATCTGTATTTGCTTGCACATACATCAGCCTCTTCGTTCCAAATCGGTTCGATGTACTTGTAACTTTGTTATCTGTGAGATCTGCAAATAAACTGTAGTTGTCGCTTAACAATGCCTTCTGATTTCAAACACCGTTGGCATTTATAATAAAAACGGTTATGAAGGTGAGTAATTAATGAAGCTAAGCCACTACAAAATGTAGGCTGGACAAATTTAACCATACGCGTCTTCTAAGTATTGCTCGCAAATCATGGAATACGATAATAGATTTTTGAATATGTATATTTCGTACGATCGTTTATCTGTACAGACGATCAAAGAAACGAAGCAAAACGAAATGATTCGGGGTGGAGAAGGCGTGTGACCCAACTCCATTTAGCCAGCGGTGAATCAACATTTATAGTCAAACAAAAGTAAGTTACAGACATGTGATGAGTAAGATAAACAATGAACACACAAACTCTTACATAAAATCGGTCAAGGTTGGTAAGCGAATAAATAACGAGGTCAAAAATGTGCTCAAGTAAATTGGCCTGTCCGGAAGCTAGAATAAGCCAATAGGGCTTGAATAACAACCAACGCGACAAGTACTAAGCGAAGATGGAAAGTCGGTTGATGAGGTTATGAACACTAATCAACCAAGGTGATTAGTGTACTCATTACATAGGCCTAAACACCATCTACTTTGACGCACCATACTTGTTGGTGTATGAGTGGATTGGAATAAATCTAGGGGAAGCCAAACCACTACATGGAATCAATTTCTGTAGTTACTGAGTATTTCTCTAAACCTTACACGTAGAAGAAAACTACCTGATTGGGATACCCTTTATAATGAAAGTAATAATAGTATTAATAATAATAAATCGTTGGAGACTGGGTGAAGTATCTAAGAATCGGTAACAACTGCGTAGATCCATTTACTATTTATCCTCCTCTAGATTTTGAGTTCTAGAATTCATTTACAAAAACCTTTACATCCCGTCTTTTTTAACAATATTCTCTATGCTTAATCTCTCTAATTACTGTTACAACTACATCATTTCGATCTCTTTACTATTTATTGTGTTAATTCAATCTCATCGTGTTAATGTGGCGTGACAACTTGGGTCAACGTAAATCACTGTATTTTTTTTTAAATGATAGCATGCATCACTCATTTAAAACATTGTTTTCAATTACGTTAAAATGAAACATTGATGAATTTGGTTTCTACTTGATAAAAACTTCCAAGCCCACTTAATTCATCTACATTGTTATTATAAGTAACTCTATAATCAGCTGAGAAATATTTAAATGCAAAACTTGAAAGCGATAGCAGGATGAGAATTTATGTATTCTTTATTTCTGCACGTACATCTGGTACAAATGGGCACGAGAAAGAGAATTCAGATATCACAGATTCGCATACTTTTTTAGAAATGTCTTATATTTACATCTAAATAGAGTAAGTCAGTTGGTTGAAAACTGTCACGTCTTTTATCAGCTTCAAAAGTTTAAGTGTCTAGAAAGTCACTGGTTCAACATGATTTCATTCGTAATAAAAGGAAGTTCACATTCAAATGTTCTTACTCACACGACGAATAAAAGCCAAGTATTTTATCATCTGTATAAAATTGTGTTCTGTCATGGATTAGCATGTCAAGGACAATTGCTTAAACGTTTGATTGTACATTTGGCACAAACAAAAGTCAATCACAGTTCATTCCTTATTTTTATCACAATGTACAAGAGAATAATAACGTTTGTGTAATAAGCAATAACAAACAAACATTTATCACCATCAATTAATAAACTAGTTTCCATCTTCTGAAGAAATACCCGTAAGTGTACATTGTAAGGGATTCATATTCGGAGATTTGGTTTAAAAGTCTAGTAGTAACTTAATTCCTTATAATTAGAGAGCATGAGATCAAACACGAGGCATTAAAAATAGTTGAAAACTTACTTTTCTGAGCACCATAAAACGCATTAGGAAAAATACTCCAATAGATGCCAAACCGCTCAGAAGAGGTGAGAGAAACCATGATCCAACTAAATTGAAATGAATAAAACAAAGAGACAACAATTAAATGAACTTTATCTATTTTAAAAGGCAGTGGTGCTCACTAGTCATGTCAGGTTAATAATAAACAAAATGTGATATAATCATTAATGAGCATACAGTTTATGAAGGATAGTAGAAAGTTAACAATTAATTTCATAGACTCAATTTCTTTGCTTATCATTAATATTGGTATGTTATTTTTGTTTATCTATATTTTGAAACAAAATCTTTTATAATATTATCTAAACTCTAATGGGGTAATGTTATAAGATGTTTGCATAAACGCTATGCATAAGGTATAATTTCTATTTGTGAAAGTCTCGGAGATTAAAATTCAATAGTTATAACAATTCACCTAACAGCTTGATTCGGTTTACTACGGGGAATTAATCAAGATTATTTTACACAAAATTGTTCAGTCACATGCTAATGTCGATCACATTAACAGTATTAACATGAATCACTCAGTGAAAAAATGTATCAGAACAGCCGTATATGATGTTGAATATATTATTTGGATGTCACTCTTGTAGAGTGATTATAAAAGGCATTACTCCATGGTCAGGATTACTTTCAACCTCATTTATCTTTGAGAGTTTCGACTTTTTCCCTGGAGAAGCTCAGATTGGACTGCCGAATCAAACTATGAATGCATTTCATTGGAATTTCTGAGATTTTACAGACATTATTTATAACCAATTCTCGTGAAAATACTCGTCCAAACATGGACGAGACCTCAGTCAGAGCACTAAACATGTAAAAATGATAGATGACATTGTAAACCCTTGAGTTAATGAAACGAATACTGGTCACCAATGTATAACTGGATGTTGATAAAAATTGAACATTGGTGACCAACTTTAACACAAACAGGCAGAATTAAATCTACATGTTGAACAAATGAAATGTTTGCAACAAAGTTGACAATTTCTAATTACAATTCATAAAGATACAATCTTTAAACATCAATAAGAAATCTGGTAAAAGTATGGTGCGGAGACGAGCCACTCACAGTCAAGAGCGCAAGTTTTAGGCTTTTGAAAGAAATTCAAAGATTACGTATAATGAACAGTGAAAATACTTTCGTATGCTGTTCAAAACGTTTAAAATGATTATAGATAATTATTTTCTTTTGCAACTATAGAGTAAAAATGATGATACTAAACGCATCAAATGATCAATCCTTTTTCTGTAGATTGTTTATAACAGGTAAATCGACACTATCCCTATAATCATAACTCTAAACTTTAACCTGGTAGCAGTACATTATATGGACGAACTAATCAGATAGTGACTTTTGTATTCTCGAGTGAAATTCATCCATTCATATGGCGAATGAGTGTTTTTCGTTACAGCTGATGCCATTTCGTGATGAAAACCCTAACTCTAGCTTGGAACAATGTAGGGACTTCTAAGAATTTGTTGGGGTCCTTTAAAGTATTCGAAAAGATGGACGATCTATATTCACAGGGACGAGCTTATATGTAGTTGTTTTATTTGAATTACAAACAAAGTAACTTTCAGAAGACATCGATAGATTTATTTCGTGAAATGTGTTTACATTAATCAACATCAATTCTTTCACATAACCTATCCATTTATAAAATCAATTTTCTGATTGTCTACAAACTAGATGGAAATTCATCGCAGTTGTTTTAAACTCATCCTTACACTATACTTTTACCAAAGAAATGTTCACCATTTTCATAATTTACAATGGATATTACATTTCTATCCCCTTGCTGTTCTACAAAGCATTCATTTATAGTAATTATTAAAAGTGTGCATCAGAAAATTAAACGATTATTAAAACAATGCATTTGTAAGTTGAACTTGCACAGAAATATGTTTTGGCTAAAAATAAAATCAAATGATAAAAGAAATGTTGTAATCAGTAAGTAGATCGGTTTAGCATAAGATGGTTAATGTTAGCATGCAATAATTACATTTTGAATGTGTCTACATTGGTTGTTGTCAATATGAGAATATTTCATCTTTTTCGAGTCTACCAATAAGCTATCTATTGCTAATTGATTAAATTCAGAGAAATGTGAATTATTGTATTAATTCCTTGTGAAAACTAATTCCGAAATAAGGGAAAATTTTAACCGACCACCTATCTCAATTAACATAAATCTAAACAGCATGAATGCATCTAAAGTCAAGTGAAGAAACCGAACAAATTTATCCTACTTTAAAAAAGATAACTAGCTTTTTACAAGTTTCAAGAAAACTATTTTGCGAAACTTAACTAAACTCTGTATGAAAATATTTGATTTGTAGTTTATAAAAACTAATGAAAGGAATTACATAGAAAATAAAGACCAAGTTACACGATTAAAGTCAATTCTATGCAATAACAACAATAGCTATCGTTACCGTTCTATAATATGACCAGGATAGCACCTCATATTGATGTACAAACACATAAAATGAAGAGTTCCACATGTATAGTTGTACAAAATATAATATATAGAAATAGTAAGATTAACAGTTAAGTTATCAAATTATGTGGTATGAATATTTTATACGAAAAGTTAATACTTATTCAATGCTTATAAGTATAAAGTGCCAATCAGTAGAAGAGTAAATTAGTTATAATCATTATTGGAAGCAAACATGAAAAGGATTAATAGCAACTGGAAAGGATTACCCAGGATAGAGTTAGATGAAAAATGCTGGTGAGTGGCCTAGACTCCTCCACGAGAGGTAAGTACTATTATTGCTGCTACCTTGACGTGGTGGTCGGACTTGCTTATCGTGATGAATCAACCGAGCTATACTGGCTGGAACAATCGTTCCTCAAGGTCCTACCATGCCAGGCAGGTCGTTTGAAGAGCGGTGAGACTAAAAGCAACAAACCCAAGGTCCGAAGGCGAAGTCGTACTGCTGACTGTACAGAGGTGTGACAGCAGTAAGGTGTTTCCTTCAGACAACCAGCATAACAGCGATGCTGCCTTTCCACAAGGAAGGGTGGGGTTAGAAAAGGTCGGCCCTAAAAATGCACACCTCGCCTTATCCCACGGATATCCGTCTCCGGCGGTAAGGTCCTTTGAAGAACAGAGCTAACACAAAAACTACCCACAAAAAGGTCGTGTGTGACCGACCTCAAGCAGTTGTCCCTTGGGCACTGCGGTCACGCTCTCAGGTCATTAAGACCACTTCTAACCCAATTTCCTTTTCAGGTACCTCTAGAAGAACCCTTCCACAGTGTGGGCAACCGGGAAGTGATAACTGCCCTCATACCTCTAACAGCACTCAAGACCACTGTATTCATAATCAATCTCCTTCTTCAATTACTACTATTCCCTCTACCTTGACTTTCAACACTAAACTTCCTCTTTCGGTTTCCTCCTCAAGTGTTACCATGGCCAACGATTCTAGTGCGCGAAACGCTGTCCAAGGTCTACTAAAACCTCGCTCCAAAATACACATTGGAGCCTTCAACGTACGTACCCTATGCCAAATCGGTCAACAGGCCTCCTTAGCTAAAACCCTAGAATCTCGTACCATTGATGTATGCTGTGTCTCCGAAACACGCACGTTTCTCCCCATCCAAATGTAAATTGTTACTCCAGGACTAGCCTGCGTCAACACCCGAACTAAGGATAGGGAGTGAAGTAGTCGAACGCGTCGACAACTTCACTTATCTTGGAAGTCTGATCAGCCCTTTATTTATTATTTATTTATTTAAACACATAAATATTGGTACAATGAAGCACCAGATAAATATGCGCCTCACAAATCTCATTCGATTTGTGTGAGGGCTGTGATACTGCCCAGGTGCCCAGACTGAAGCAGGTGGTTTTCTTAGGGGGCCACACCCGGAGCCTTTGACCAAAAGGTCTGATCCACAAGGCAGTGGAGCATCGTGAGGAGATGCAGTCCCATGGTAGCCGTTGACCAATGACAGGTTCGTCCGTCATTCGTTCCATCAGGATACTGGAGCCCATGTGCACCATTGGTTTGGAATCAGGGTTTTCCAACTCCCCTAGGTGGACCCTCCATGTCCACCGACCCGGTTAAAGTGCCGGACATTCGCTTTTCGTCCTCTCACTTTCGTAAACAACACCCCCACAGCAAGAAGGTAGTGAGTAGGACTTCCCTGACAGAGGCTATACATTCGCTGGCCATATGAGAGTATTTCGAGAGGGAGAGGTGACTCTCCCCACTCTCGGCCGTACCAGGGCATTTGGGGGCTGATCAGCCCTAATGAGTTGGTGTCTGACGAAATCTCAGCACGGATTCAAAAAGCTCGTTTGGCTTTTGCCAACTTACGTCACCTATGGCGAAGACGAGATATCCGTCTATCAATTAAAGGACGAGTATACTACGCATCAGTTCGCTCTGTTCTACTTTACGGCTGCAAAACATGGCCATTAAGAGTAGAAGATACTCGTAGGCTACTAGTATTTGACCACAGATGCCTTAGAAATATTGCTCGCATCTGCTGGGATAACCGGGTAAGTAATAGTGAGGTTAGATACAGGGTATTAGGGAATGATGGTAAATCAGTTGATGAGGTCATGAATCTTCATCGACTGAGATAGTTGGGCCACGTGTTACGTATGCCTGAACACCGATTGCCACGACGCTCTATGATGACTAGTATTGGGGATGGTTGGAAGAGAGTTAGGGGCGGCCAAACCAAAACATGGCATCAGTGTCTGAAGTCACTAACTTCTAGTCTGAGCCATGTTGGCAGATGCAGACTACCTGGTTGGGGTCCGCGTGACTATCGTAACCAATGGTTGGAGACTCTAGGTGACATGGCTCGGAATCGATCACAATGGCGTAGGTGTATACATTCTTTATCATCCCTTAAACCTTGAGATTAAAATTGCTTCATAACTTTCTTCCTTCCTGTACTATATCCTTAAATACAACCTATAATTTATAGACTACCACCAACACTAAATTAACCACTATGAATCCGGTGTTCATCTTGCTGTGCTAACGAGGTATGGCAACTTGGACCGATGCATATATGTGCCTGGTTCTACGTTGTAGCTGACTGACTGACTATTATTATTTAATAATTTGACATATTTAATTCGACTGTCATGCTATAGACATGAGTGTAGGCAAAATAAAATAAAATTCTGAAAATGTACAAAAATGATTACAGTCTTTTTGATGTGAAGTAAATCTTGAAAAGGTATGTTTTTTGTTTAAACAGGGAAAGTCATGAAGCTTTCAATAAAAAAGACCAATAAAAATGCAAAGTTAAAACTAGAAATACAATATAGGTTACAATATTTAAATAGTATAATGTTTCTTCTACATATTACTTATAACACCATTATTATGATTATAAAACTATTCAACTGTTCAAGAAATAAAATATATTATTTGGTCTATAGTGGAATTCATGAGTCAATTGAAGCTAGACCACCATGGAAAACCTGGAAACACTGGACGGCCGTTTCGTCCTATTGGGCTTTCAATGCGTCCAGGTTTTCCATGGTGGTCTAGCTTCAATTGACTTATGAATTCAACTATGGAATTACTAAAATCTCCACAAAACCCCTTCATTATATTTAGTCTATTTTAGTCTACTGTTATATAAATCATTACCGTCATAGAATATATAGATTCCACATCCAACCAATGTGATCACTTATATTACAGCAAGTACTGTTCATAATTAGGTGGTGAAGACTCAGCATTGTCAAACCATGAATAATAAATACATACTAACTAATTGTCGCATTTCATAGCAGAACAAAAGGAGAAAAGTGTTGAAGTAAACACGAAGAATATAAGCAGACACGAATGTTTGTTCAAGAAAAGAAATATTATTCCTAAAATGCCAAAACAAAGGACAAATAAACAATGGAACAAGTAGCAAACTGGTCAGAAACGATGAGATTTTCACTACTTGAAGGATATATATATAACGAAATATATCTTTGTACCGATGACATCATACTCGGACGACTGTATCTAGTGTTCTCCTGTAAATGTGAATCAGTTGTCAGTCTAGTTTTACATCTTAGATACCTCATTCTACCGTAAAATAGATCTATGTTAACCTGGTTTTCAAAAACAAACCGCGACTATCATTATTTAATTTTGTTCGAAATATAGAAAAGCGAAACATTACTTCAAGCAATTCAGTGTATTATATTTTTTGCATTGTTTGTGGAACTATCATTGTAAGAGCATTGGCACATGCGTATAATTCTACATAAATAATAGAAATCAGCGGAGTAAACACACAGAATTACTGTCGAGTTAGGTGATGAAATACGCCGTCTAACTTTGGTCACCTAACATGAAAAAAACTTATTCCACTTACGTCGATAAAGTAAGTTTAATCCAAAAACAAACTATTTGACTATATACATAGTGTGCAGTAGAAACTGTTCCGAAACTTACAACCATATATAAGCAAAATGGTATGTACACAAAATCCAAAACATATCACCTTTATTCCGTAGACAGAAAGTCCTGGGTTCGAATCCCGGTTTTAGGATCATGGGTACACACTGTTTAGGAGTCGCACACTAGAACGAAAGGGCCGTCCAGTGCTTCTAATTTTCGAGTGGTTGTCTGATTTAAGTCGGTTTGTGACTTCAATGAAACTCAACAATCTCCACAACCTCTTACTGACAAAAATGTTTGCGTAGATAAAAAACGATAATTAGGAAAAACAAACAATGTTTAGTTTTTATAGTATAACTCTCACAGCTTAATTGTTATCAGAACGTCTTGTGATTGACGAAATATTCCGCAGATTACTATTGAAACTCAAGGTGCATAAAGTACATTATGTAGATAGTCATGTTTAGTTGTCTAGATCTAAGCAATTATCTATATATTGAAAGGGAACTAGATTTTACTAATAGCTAACATAAGAAAAATAAATAATATATTTGTAATATCCCAATGAGTAGAAAAATTAGATTTTAATCTAATTTTTCTACTCATTGGGATATTACAAATATATCATTTATTTATAACAATCTACCCAATGCTCAATTTATTTAAAATTATCAAATCAAAACTTGGTAATGATACCTATAAGAAAAATAGTTTAATCTATAAAGACACTGTGAGAAGTATTAATGCTTAAGCATTTGACGCTTCAGTTTGGGCACCTGGGCAGTATCAGAGCCTCACGCAAATCAAATGAGATTTGTGCAGCGCATATGTATCTGGTGCTTCCTTGTACCAATATTCATGTGTTTAGATTTAACGCATAAAGGGACAAATTACTTACATTTATAAATGGTAACAAAACTTTACTAACAAATAGAATTTATCCTGTCCAAGTTTGCAATGGGACTCAAACTACAAAGTTATGAATTTGTATGAAATCTTAATCATTTAAGTAAGCTTACAACCTTTACTATGCGAATAAATATTTACTGCAGTATCGAATTAACAACATCGCTACTAAATAATTTATTCTGATTAAATTATCAAATGTGTGCTGAGAAAAATAATGATCATATCCATTATTTTTATATTTTAAGAAAATTCTTACCAATTTTAATTAGTCCTTTCCACTGAATAGCATTGAGTCCAAAGATAACAAGACTAAAACCCATCGTTGCACCTACAATACTATGTGTACCAGAGACTGGAAGACGGAAGAATGTAGCAACCAAGAGCCAAATACAAGAACCTATAGACAAATGAAACAAATATAACAAAAAAATGGTACTCAAAATAGTGAGTATCTCTGTAAAATGTATCAATATATGTATAATTCTATGAATACAGTTTAATGATGATAGAAACTTATTATCAAATACGTTTACTTAACGTCAACTACTTGATATTCCAGTTTAAGTAGCTGATATGCACACGTCAGAATAGAGATTAAGAAAACTGTAAGAAGTTATCTTTTAACCATTATACTAACTATACTGCATATCTGAAATAATCCTAAAAAGTTAGAGTTAGTCCCAAATTAAATAATACATAGTAGCAATGTATACATTTAACTGTTTGTCATGATTCATTAAACCCAATATTACAGGCTTTAAACGATCATAACATTTGCTAAACAAGCATACAAATATCTAAGGGGTTCATCTTTATTAAATAAAAATAAATAGCATTAAAAATATGCCTAACACAAATGCAACCAACAATAAATTTATAAAATTCATAAATTATTTTACAACAGGGATTATTTTAACAGAAAACTAGCAATCACCTTATGAAAAGTAAATATTTTCTTTCAAGAACAGAGAATACAAATGTCCCAACTAGACATTAAAACTATAACCACAAGAACTACGTTGGATTCTGCACACAGTTTCACTCAAACATAGGATAAAAACTAACAAATAATATTACAATTATTTTATCAATATTGTAATAAGTAAGTCATTGTTTTGGGATTATAAAATCTCCTTTGAAGACTGACTAAATATTTGAAAAAATTTAAAAGTTGCCATCAAATGTTTTTGTACAAAAGACATTAAACAGTTTGGTAACAACTTTAATTCGACAGTTGATATTAATCAGTCACAACATAGAACCTATACGCATATACATCGGTCCGAATCGCCATACTCCAATAGCACAGAGAGATGAAGTTGTCAAGCCAAATCCCAGAATAGTAGAAGTAGTAATAGTATTAGTGGTAATAGGAAAGATTAGACGTCGAAGATACGACTCGAAAAGAAAATATATGTTAGCGAACTAAAGACAAAAACAGTTATGAGGCATTTAGAATCTCAAGATTTGGGAGAAGACAAAGAATGGATGCACCTGAGCCGTTCCAAACGATTTAGAGCCATGTCATTCAAAGTCTCCAATCATTGGTCACGATAATCATACAGACCCCGACCAGGTAGTCTGTACTTACTAACATAGCTAAATCCAATTGTCAGTGACTTCATGGATTGATATCGTGTTTTGGTTTGGGCCACCCGTGGCTTACTTCCAGACTACTCCTACACCGAAAAGCATTGACCGTCGAGGTAGGCGGTGGTTGGGCATACGTAACACATGTCCCAAACACCTCAGTTGATGAGGATTTATGAAATCACCAATTGATTTCCCGTCTTTTCCTAGTACTATATTCCTAACTCAGACATTGCATATTTCGTGGTCTCAAAATGCACTTTTAGTGGCACTAGATCTGACTTCAATTAGTTCGTTTCCGATTGCTATCGAAATATACATGTTGCCAATCTTCTTACATAATTATCGAATTAACTCGCGTTAGTGAATAACGGAATTAAAGTAAGACAAATACGACAATGGATTTTGAATACGTATATTTTGTACAATTGTTGATCGGAATAGACAATCAGAGGGACAGGACGAAGGAAGCGAAGAGGAGAGGGCGAAGCGAAATGAATCGGAGAAGGCATATGAACCAAATCAATTTAACCAAGCTTTACCCAATATTTATAGTCAGACAAAAATAAGTTACAGACATGTGATTAGTCGGATAACAAATGCACACACATACGCTTACATAAAAACAGTCAAGGTTGGTAAGTCCTAGCCCCTACAAAGCCCCTCTGCAGGAAATAGCACATTAATTTTAAAAATGTTTGTTTTCGAAAATAACACTGCATATGTATGCAGTTAACGATAATAATAATAATAATAATAATAATAATAATAATAATAATAATAATAATAAGTAATCAAAAAAGTACTATACCTGATGGAGTAGTGTCACGTGAAGGGTTAGTGTATTGTACGAAAGTGTCATACTTATGTGAAAAAAGTACTTGAATATAGTAAATATGCGGAAAAAAGTGGAATGTTAACATGCGATTATGAGCAAACTATTAAGCGTACAAAAAATTGACATGCATTTATTTCGTGACTATCTGAACAATTAAATAACATGTTTGTGTGAGCGATTCAAAATATCGTGAATACAGAGTAATAAATCGTTTATCGCTTATGGATATGACAGCGAGATAAATCGCGAAAATAAGTAAGGTAGAATATGACGGAACTGGTCTGTGGTGCCGACAGAATATAAGGGTAAAGAATAGTGGAATATGAATATGTCTTAATAAGCTGCGGTAGAGCAAATAACATCGATTAGCGATTAGTGGATTTGAATTTACATACATGGAGTTTCTGTTCGTAAGATAAACACAATCCATCCGTAAAATGATAACTGCATTGATGGGTGATATTTGTTGCTGCACTGCAATTGACAATAATTACAAAATGCGGAGTCAGTGCACGTTGTCATTCGCGTTATAACCAGATGTACCGAATTATAGTTAAATATGTATTAGTAGAATGACCAGAGGAACAGAATAGTGACAGCGGGGCCTATTCCTTTTTAGTCGTAAGGCCTAGTGTGGTTTATGTCGTTTGAGGGAGATGCGCTCGACCTCGTTTGTTACGAGACCGTACTAAAGCGTAATAAAAATGCCAATACGTCCGATTATCGATGATAGAGAATGATACGGACCTCGATGGGATGAACAAGAGTGTATCCTTGAGAGATTAGCTCTAAACTCTATAATCTGATATAGAGTGCGACTGCAATAGAATATTAGTTGCAATAATCGAATAATGTTTATGAGCATTGAATGATGCAGCATTTATTCATACATGTGAAAGAATGGATAAGATGAACACAATCATTACTAATCGGCTAGTAGTGCGGCGTCAAATACTTGTGTGTATAGACATTAAATTAAGAATCACCGATTAAGCAAATGCCCTGGTACGGTCAAGGGTGGCGAGAGTCCGCTCTCCCTCTCGAAATGCTCTCACATGGCCACGCGTATACAGCCACTGACAGGACAGTCTTACTAACTGCCTTCTCGCGGCTGCGGTGTTGTATACGAAATTGTGAGGACGAAAAGCGAATGTTCGGCGCTTTAACCGGTCAGTGGATATGGAGGATCCACCAAGGGGAGCTGGAAAACCCCCATTTCAAACCAATGGTGCACATGAGCTACAGGATCCTAAAGGAACAAATGATGTATGAACCAATCGTTGGTCACCGGCTACCATGGGGCTACATCTCCTAACGTTGCTCCACTGCTTTGTGGATCGACCTTTAGGTCAAAGATTCCGGGTGTGGCCACCTAAAAAAGCCACCTGCTTCGGTATGAGACCCTGGTAGTATCACAGCCCACACACAAATCAAGTGACTTGTGCAATGCACATGTGTTCGATGACCCCTTGTACCAATATTTATGTGTTCAAATAAATAAAGTAAATAAACAAAAAATGGCTGGAGTTCGGTTTAGATTTTTGTTGAAAAGGTAGGAAATGACGATTGCTGAGTACAAATGCGAAGGATGAAAATTAGTTGCATCTCGAGGACATAAGTTTATACCGCCGGAAGTATGATTTATGCCTATGATAGAGCTGCTAACCGTTGCCAGCGTTGTGGTAGTTGCGACCATGCCATTATCAACATGCACAAGGTTTGTTTGACTGCTTAGGCTGACGATTCGTATGCATGCGTGTGCCGCTAGACCGCCAATCTACTAAGCATGTTGCTGGTTGTTCGGTGTACAAGCAGCTGGTAAACATGTCGGAAATATATGACATGTGACAGCCATATATCCACAAAAATGAACGGTAATAATTAAGCCATTAGTGTGATAAATGATTCAGAACAAAATAAAGACGATCGATCCTAGCAAAAGACTTATTAGAATTAAAGGCATCCACAGACATAATAAATGATATCGAAATGAAAAATGGATGGTATAACATGAAGATGATTTCGCCTAAGTGGATAAGTGTAAAAATAGAGCAAAAATGACACGAAAAAATTGAGTAGACTCACTTTAGGCAAGAAACTTTTACGTTATTGTATAATAGAAAATAGTCCAGTGAGTTTCAAATGTCATAACGTGAATGGAATGACCGTAAAATTATGACTTTTTTCGGTGAGTGATATGATTGCATAAATGTCGTAAGTTAATATCAGCACGAACAAAAATAATAATCCCACGTTAGGCGATGATATGACAGTAATGTAATGATGATAACATGATAATTATAATTATAATGGAACGACACATCAAATAGATCAGTGAGCAGAGTTGACACAAGGACAAAGTACAGATAAGATAATACGATTTGAGCATGTTCATGTCGTTACTGTACCGGCATCGATGAATGCATCGGATTAGAGAATGAGTTGTTTCAGTTGCTCATCTACTAAGCCAGACTTTTCGTTCGTTTATCGCGGGCGTAGACTTCGAGATGTACAGGGCCTGCGCAGATTTACAGGGTGCGTTTCGTCCGAAATCGAGCTTACAACTTTAGTAGTGGTATGATGATATCATCGATGAGGTTGTCGAGTTCTTGCTGTCTCGTTTAGTCGGACAGCACACAAGTGACTGTCTATCGGGGTCCAGTCTAGGAGAGCCTGTTCTAATTTAGGATTTAATGCTAAACCTACACCAGTGAGGCCATGGGAAGTAGCAGTGGGATCCCCAGTCACTTGTAAAGCAAATCATCACTGTTCTTTATACTGACAAAGTGAGGTCAAATGAATGACTGTACTTGGATTCCGTATGGGCGTTTCGGAGACGCAGCACACGTCGATGACGCGAGATTCCAGGGTCCTGGCTAAAGGAGCCTGCTGTCCGATCTGACACAAGGCTTGAACATTAAAAGCCCTAACATATAGTTTAGAGCGTAGTTTCAGGAGACCAGGAATAACATTTTGTGAATTCAAATCATTAACGTTAGTGGAGCACAGTGATAAAGATAAGTGAGAAGGGTTGGTCATAGGGATGGAAGAATTACTACGAGATGAAGGAGTGATTCGATTGTCAATAAAATGATCTCGGGTGCTGATAGAGGTAGTAGAGCGGTTGTTACTTCCCGGTTGCCCACACCGTGGAAGGATAGTTCGTCTTGAGGGACCCGAAAAGGATCTTGAATTAGTGGTAATATTGGCGAACTAGGAGTGTAACCACAGAGCCCAAGGGACATCTGCTTAAGGCTACTCGCGTACGGGCTTTTTATGGGAAGTTTTTAATGAGTTTGCTCATCACTTCAAAAAGCCTTATCTCCAGATGTGGAAATCCATGAGGTAAGGTGAGTTGTGACATTTTCGGTGTCAACCCTCCCTTCCGTTGTGAGGCAGCATTCTACAGATGCTAGCTGTCCGAGGGAAACACATTGCTGCTGCCACATCCCTCTACATTCAGCAGTACGGCCTCGTCCTCGGGTCTTAAGTTGCTGCTTTTGATCTTACCGTCTTCCAGCCGACCTCCCTGGTATGACAGGACCTAAAGAAACATGTGTTCCAGCCAATATAGCTCAGTTGAGTCATCACGATAAGCAAGCCCGATCACCACATCAAGGTAGCAGCTACAGTTGGGCGAATGATATATATATATATATATATATATATATATATATATACAACAGTTTCCGAAGTAAAATAGCTCATTATCACTCGGATAATTATCTTATCAGTTTTATTTGATCTATGTATAACTGTGAGCATCAGTGGTTAAATGTAATTGATTACTTTTTGAAATACAGAAAAACATTATATAGGGAAAAAATACTATTTTTATAGACCTACCACCCAGAGCGGCAACCTGTCCGGCCATCAAGAGTACATGCCCATTGTCGATGGTTTGAAAAAGTTCGACACTAACAATGCCCTTCCTTATGGTATTGGAAACTTTAGCACCTGAAGAAGTACATACATGTATATATAACCAAACTAAACTTACCTAAAAGAACAGAACCACTTAATTCACAGATTGTAGCAAGAATACAAGCTTGTTTCAGTGTTAATACTTTGGCCCCAACACTAGTTCCGAATGAATTTGCCACATCATTTGCACCAATTCCAAAAGCAAGAATAAAAGCTATTATGAAACCAACAACGACCATCCATATTTGGTCTTCGGGGATAAACATGGTTCATACGAACCAAAGACTGCAATATAGGATCTTGATATCACACTGAAGTAAACTGGTAGGTTAAAAAAAATAGAAAATATATGTATTGTAGATTTTTGCTGACAAATGAAGAACAACACCAAAAATGTATGTATACCCGACTATACGAACCAAAGTTATAACTTATTTGATCTAAGATGAACGTGAGCCTTCCCTACGTTTTTAGAGATAAGCTCAAAATAATAAAACAAGGTGATCTATTAGATCACATGAACACTTTTTTATTTCAGACTTGAGCTAGCTTATAACGTTATGAAATTTCATGCATTCGTGTCAAGCATTTTTTTATCTAAATGCCCTGTTTTGTAATTTCCCCATCCTGTTTCTGTAAAATGTCGAAGCGAGAGAGGAGGAAATGTATTCCATAAACTTTATTTTTTGTTGAGCTGGTTGTACAAAATGTAGTCAAACCATTTTTCTCGAAAAAGCAGACATTATTGAGTAGACGATCGATAGCGCTACAGTCTTATTATATAGATATACCCCCAAAATTGGTGACACATATTAATCATGAGCATGTTTGAGAATGTATCTCCTCTTCAACCCAAGATTTAATCTATTTAGTAATCGAGATCTCTATAGACAGTGAAATTCATCCATACATTTGGCAAAATACCGTTATGACATTATAGCTGATGTCAGTTCGTGATGAAAACGATAAATCTTGTTCCTAACCCTAGCTGTTAACTGTAAATCATGATTCTAATTCATCATATAGGTTTATAATCTTCATTTGGTCTTATTTATTACGTGGACACTCTCAAGGTTACTTTAGGGTCGCTCATAGGTTGTCCATAAATTATAGTCACCTAAAAATCGACAGTTAAACCACCTGGCTTATAAAACGAAACTCCTCCCAAAAGTAACTCATATGGCAAATTTTACTGCTACAGAAGCACAACACAGCTCATTACATTAGAATATTTACAAACAAAACTCAGTAAACAGATAAAAGTCATTCAGTGCATTAAAACTTTACTTCATTTGAAGGTTTAATTCACAAGCGCCACCAAGTTTCCGCCAAAATCGTAAAACGAAACACAAAATATCTTACAAAAGCTGATGTTACTTTGGACAGCAGAGAAACTGTTAGAAAGTGTCCTGAATTCTAGAAAGTCATTAATTAGATTTGAAATCTAATGTTAAACAGGCTACTTCTATTTGATTTTTATTTGTTCTTTCAAACCGCTGTTCCAATGTTTACTTTTATAAAACTTTCGGCGATGTCATTTTTACCACTTAGTTCTTATCTTTGTTAATTTGACTCACTGGACTGATATGAAGTTTGGAAACAAGAACTAACAAACAACCGTATCGAGTTCTACTCTGAGATCATTAGTCAACTAGTTTCTTCTGCATTATATCACTTATATTGAGAAATGGGCTGAAATTCTAAACAATTTCGACTTAATCTACTAATTCATTTGATATGCTCCTGATGTTTGTGATATATAGCTGATGTAAATACTGATGGTTTGACGTCCATTTAGTTCTTGGTAATTAAAGATTCAAAAGACAGTCGATGAAACAAAACAAGATAGTTAATCAGCTAGTTAGAGATGGCACAGTGATAGAATTAACAGGTAGCGGTATAAGTTTATCAGCCATATCAGCATGTAATTACAGTAATTTTCATTTCAATTTTACGGTAACTGAGAACGGAACAAGACCAACCAAATTGGTGAGATGTAGACAGAACGGGGAACACGAGTCCCTGTGTTACTGAGTCATTCTATTAAATTAACATTTACATGAGCTGGATTATATTAGTGTGTCACCATTAGGCCCTTTTTGGAACGCACTTTCGATACATTTTTCATCATATGACTTCACTCAAAATTTCTGGGTATAAATCCATGAGGAAAAAAAAGACATACCGTGATCGGAATGCAGTGTATCGGTGATGCTATAATTTTATGTGCGACCATTGAGCAAATTATAGTGACCATGATTGTGTCAACCTATCAACAGGGGGTAAATGAAGGCTATAAAGTAGTGTGAGGGATTAGAATTATGATGTATGGTGGACGGTTAGGTTTAAAAACTAGATCTAGGATTTTCATCACGCACTGACACAGGCTATTGTGCTGAAACAGTACTTCGCCGAATAAATGAATGAATTACGCGCTAAAACCCTAATATGTTAAGTCGGATGTGATTGGTCCGTCCATAATTTATAGATTCACCGCCTTAATGCAAATTACTCTATTTATTGTATGCAAACGTTTAGATATGATAACTTTGTAAAAGGCAGCAAATTTCATGTTTACTCACAAATTGCGGGTAAAAAGTTATTTTCAATGGTTAATTGTGTCCGCACTGGAAATATATAGAAGAACTAAATGAAACTTATATGTCATTTAGCTGCTCGAGCTTTAGAGCTAAGCACATTGTCGGATAGTGGTTTAGGGGGTACTTGAAGGATTTGGATTTCGTCAGTATGGAGAACTCTCCTACATTTTACGAGTATCCAAAGTATCACGTGCCAAAGTGCATGTCCAAGAGATCCAGACGTGAATTTTTTAACCGAAACCGTATACTTCAGCCACCATATAAATAAACGAAGTCATCTTTTTCTTTCTTCTAGTAATTGTAGAAATATACTGAGTAATAACTCTGTTATGGTTACAGAGTGTCCTAGAGTCTTCTGATTTATAATGATGTGAATGTTGAAAAGATTCGTAACGACAGAAATAAGACCACCTTTTCCCTTTCCTTGTGACACTTTATTTGTTATCACTTTAAATTCAAAAGCTTTCGCTTAACCTTATCACATGTAGCACGGACATTACTGATTGGTTTATTAATCTACTTGCTTCTGTTGATATTCATCCTCCGTTCTCCAGCTTTACGAGCTATAACTTGACCTTATATCATGTTACAAGCGCTAATTGCTATTTTTTATTTATTCGCATTTTTAACATGACACGTTAAATGAAAAAGTGATCTATTTTAATCTGAAGCAGCAAAACTACATATCATAGCTTTATTCATCTTCTTGTGGTGAATAAATCTTCAAAATCAATAGCTGTGTAAGTCTTCTACGTTTGATCCCTAACGCATTTGATTCACTGGGCTGACCTAACTGAAGGCACTTGATCGCGCATCCTCACCACATCAAGGGTGGACGCACTGTGTTATGCATCTCCTACAACCATTGACCAATTTAGATTGACCACTTCTCGATATATCTATAGACTATCAGTTATATTTTCGAACCTCTTCTCTTCTGACTTCTATTTTGACTGAAATGGCACATTTTGATCATAAAAGTGTTACTGGTTAGGGTGTTGTCGAACTTCAAATGCTTGTGACATCCCAAGTGATGAACCCGATGTGATCTGGTACATCACTTCGTAAACCGAGTATGTACGCTGTTAAAGCTTTATGTATCACTCTCTTACATTAAACTTTAAATATTATGATATTTTTATGATATTTTCGGGTTCTGTTTCCCGTTTATTGCTATATTTTTCATTCAACACAATCGGAAAGACTCCTAATTTATATAAGGTCAAGACTCATCCCCCTCATTTCAGACAATGTCATTTTGACCCGACAACATCAAGGCCTAGCTCTGCTTCTCAGAAGCTGACGTTTACGAGCATGGCGTGCAAGACCAACGTGCACAATTCCTTGCAGTAGCGAGGGCAATACCGTGAAATTTCAACAGGCATGCCGCACCTAGTATGTTTATGCGTGAAATTTTAAGAAAGCCTATTTTTAGACCTGGAGATCTAACTGATCGACAAAGTTGAGATCAACTCCTCAGTAACATCAATCTACAACATGGCCCAGCAACAGACATATTGTTACGAATGAGAGAGACCATGGGTCAGAGGATCTTTGACGACGGCCTGTTTAGACAGCTCTTCTTGTCTCATTTGAAAACAATGCTGTAGGCCAACTGGCTGCATCTACTGACCGGTTTCTAGAGAACACCAAAAAGCTCAGCACCAAGGTCTATTCAGTCAAAGAAAAGCCTCAAAAGACATGAACTGACGTTAAGGGACCCTGTCATACTCTGACACATTACCATAGTATTCGTCATGTCCGTAGACTATCCTAAACTCCATGAAAGAGTACTTCATGAAAACGATCCGTTTCTACGTCACGAGATACAGAAAACATTACGGTTTCCCGAACACTAAACCGCCCGATACGAAAAATGCTTCAGAAATCTGAAATGGGCGAAAACGAATTCAACCGCATGATGGACATAGGAATCATTCGGCTATCAAATAGCCATGAACATCTCCCTTGCACACAACTCCCAAGAACGACAGCAATGATCAGCGTCCAACTAATGACCCTCGGTGATTGAGTGTGAAAACCTTTCGTGATCGTTACCTGTTGCTTCATGTTCACTATTTGATAGTTACCGTATATGATACAACTGTTTCTCAAAAGTCGACCTGGTTAAAGCATATAACCAAATTCCTATGGCTGCCAACGACACTCATAAAACGGCCATCACAACCTCCTCTCGCCTCTACGAATATTTGCGCGTGCATTTTGGTATAATAAGTGTTCCACTAATATCGCAGAGATCCATCTATAACGCCCTTCAAGGTCTCAGCTTCGTACATGAATATGCGGATGACTGCTTGATCTCAAGTCTGAACAGAAAGTCTCATCTCCAGCATCCGAACTTCGTCTTCAAACGACTGAATAGGCACGACATTACTGCAAACATCCAGAAATGTGAAATCGGAACCGACGCTCTGGATTTTACCGGACATACGATTGATGCTCAAGGCGTCTGACATCTAGAGAGCTAAGTGCCAGCCATTCTGGATTACCCAGAACTGACGACAACTGAGGAATTACGCAAGTCTAACGGCCTTGTAAGTTTCTATAGACGGTTCATACTAAACTGCGCGTCCTCTATGAAGCCCTTGACCGACAAATTTCGTGAGAATGCGAAATCTATCATTGTGGACGATGATGAGATAAAAGCATTCTTCACAGTTAAGTAACTTATCAACAAAGTAACATCGCTCGAAAACCAAGACACCGAAGCACCCACCAGTGCCGCAGTGGATGCATCCGACACCGCAGTCGTAGGAGTCTTACAACGATGGCTTAACCGAACCTGACAACCTTTGACATTCCTCTGAAGATGGTTTCTAGACACCGAACCGAGGTATAGAGCTTTTGGTTAAGAACCCAGCCATTTTTGTGCTGTATTGTACCTTCAACACTCAGTGGAATCTCGAGAATTCACTCTTTTCACTAACTGCAAGCCTCCTACCTCCTCATCAAGCTTATCTTCATACAAGTGTTCTGCTCGAGAGTCTCTACAACCGGACAACATTTCGTAGTTTACTTCGGAGATATGACGTTTATCTGGGGCATACAATGTGGCTGCAGACGCTTTGTGTAATATAACTTTACCGAACAGTTTCCAAAGAATTGTCCTTCAACTCATCAAGCTTCATAAAGATACTAATCTTCAGCGCGAGTTATCTTCGACAACTGTGAACTAAGTATTAAACAAATGGAAACATGTGCGACGCATCTACACGTAGTGATCGTCCAATCGTCCCGAAACGTCATCAAAGCAATGTCTTCAATACGTTGCACAAACTTTCTCGTCCAGGCGTCCGTGCAACCATCAAACTGATAGTAGGACGATTTCGCTGGACTGGTATAAATAAAAATGAAAAAAACAAGTACCCTCCCTTGTAAGATTCAAATCAGTACTCCTTACTATTAACGTGTGTAGACCGTTTTAAAGAAAGACCAGAAGCAGTACACATTAAGGACATTGCTCCTGAAACAGTAGTCCTAGCTTTCATCTGACGATGAGTAGAAAATTCTGGCTGTCCCTCAATTATCACTACAAACCGTGGACGGCAGTCCGAATCTAGATGTTCCCGTTGTCTGATTAAATTGTTAGGAATCATACGATTCCGGACGACTGTCTGGTACTTTCAAACAAACGGATTGGTAGAACTCTTTTACTGACAGCTTAACTCTTCACTCTCATTTGCAAACGTTTCATTATGGACCGACGCTCATTCATTTGTCCTACTAGGCATTCGCGATGCAGTGAACTTACTTACTTACTTACTTTCGCCTGTTACTCCCAATGGAGCATAGGCCGCCGACCAGTATTCTCCAACCCACTCTGTCCTGGGCCTTCTTTTCTAGTTCTATCCAGTTCTTGTTCATTCTTCTCATGTTTGTCTCTATTTCTCGGCGTAATGTGTTCTTTGGTCTTCCTCTTCTCCTTTGGCCTTGAGGACTCTATGTGAGGGCTTGTCTTGTGACGCAATTAGCTGATTTCCTCAAAGTGTGCCCTATCCACCTCCAGCGCTTCTTCCTGATTTCTTCCTCTGCTGGAATCTGATTTGTTGTCTCCCACAGTAACTTGTTGCTGATAGTGTCTGGCCATCGGATCCGAAGTATCTTGCGTAGACAACTGTTAATAAACACTTGTACCTTCTGGATAATGGCTTTCGTAGTTCTCCACGTCTCCGCCCCATACAATAGAACTGTCTTGACATTTGTATTGAAAATTCTAACCTTGGTGTTAGTTGACAATTGTTTTGAGCACCAGATGTTTTTCAGTTGCAGGTATGCTGCTCTTGCTTTACCGATTCTCGCCCTCACATCTGCATCTGATCCACCGTGTTCATCAATGATGCTGGGGAGATATGTAAAGGTTTCCACATCTTCCAAAGCTTCTCCATCAAGTGTAATTTGATTAATGCATGTTGTATTATATCGGAGAGTCTTGCTTTTCTCTTTGTTTATATTGAGACCTACTGCTGCTGAGGCTGCTGCTACACTGGTCGTTTTATCCTGCATTTGTTGTTGTGTTTGTGATAGAAGAGCCAGATCATCCGCGAAGTCTAAATCGTCAAGCTGCATCCTGCCTATCCACTGTATCCCGTGATTTCCTCCAGATGTTGACGTCTTCATGATCCAGTCGATGACCAGGAGAAAGAGAAAGGGTGAGAGTAAGCAACCTTGCCTAACACCGGTCTTTACCTCGAATGAGTCGGTGAGTTGTCCTCCATGGACGATTTGGCAGTTTAATCCATCATAGGAGTTCCGTATGATATTGACTATCTTCTCAGGCACGCCGTAGTGTCGAAGAAGCTTCCATAGTGTCGTCCTGTCCACGCTATCAAATGCCTTCTCGTAGTCGATGAAGTTGATGTAGAGTGATGAATTCCACTCGATTGATTGTTCCACAATGATGCGTAGAGTTGCGATTTGATCTGTGCACGATCTATCCTTACGAAATCCAGCTTGTTGATCTCGAAGTTGGTCGTCCACTGAATCCTTTATCCTGTTTAACAATACTCGGTTGAAGACTTTTCCTGGTGCAGTGAAAGCTGACATCAAATGCACTGTAACTCAACTCGTTTATGGAACGACACTCCGACTTTCAGGAGAACTCATGGATCCTTCATATTCTTCAGTTAATATAGATCTCAACTCCTACATGATATTTGCCATATTTTAAAGAAACAGGTTTCGAGTAATTGAGAAGGTTATTGAGTTGACTTTAAAGTAGAAAAGGAGAAAATAAGGGAATAAAAACGAAGGAAACTTGAAATCCGTAAATAGTTTAGAAAGCGTGTTTATGAACACAGTACGAGAATAAACGATTGTGCATGTATTGTCAAATGAACATAAGATGGAAAAGTATAAAAATTAAAAATAAATAAGGGAACAAATCATTTTTGCCGTAATATTTTAGGGTAGAATAAGCGTATGTTCAGTAATAATTTGGAGTGATGCCGTCAAAGTCTGACTTATTTGCAAAAAATAAGCGAATATCAATATGTATAAGTCGCATATATGTGGTAAAGTTAAATGAATATGGAAAGTTAATTTATTTAAGTGTAACACAAGATATTGTCTTGATTACAAACATCCGATGCCTAAGATCATCAAATATTTGGAAGAAAAATAGTGTGAGAGAATATAAATGGGCAACTTGTGAAAGGGGTTCAACCATGATATTAAGAGTGTAATGAATATCAACCTCTGAAGTGGAACACCAATTATTTTGATTTTTCATTTCACTCGGGTGAATGCATGTAAATTTATGTAATACGATACAGAGTAAAACTTCATATCAGTATGAAGTTTTGAGTAATAATAATTCAGAATGACACTATGACAGACACAATTAACTGCAGAGGATAATGAGACATCAATTTTCTACATGTTATATAAATATATATATTTATGAAGAAAACAAAATGAATCCGAAAAGTTAGTTTATCTAAGTGTCACACAAAACAACTTATTTTTAGTTACATACTTTTGATGTCTAGGAATAAGGTATGTTTAAAAGAGAAAAAAGCGATGAAAAGAATATCTAATGTGTCAAGACACCAATTGTTACGTCCAACTATGAGTTTTTGCCCGTTCCAACTATTGAAGTACTGGCCGTCAATATTCGCAAATCACGAACCCAAGTAGGCAAAAGAACCAATACTCCAAATTAGAGACCAAGTTTATTCGCAATTCACAAATAATCGACCAAAGTCGTTCTAACAACAATAATTATAACAATTACAAAACAAACATTCAATTTTGTAGGTTCCAAGAGCAAAAACTCCCAAATACCAAAGCGATGACAAAAGAAACCAAAATGTCCGAAAAGAATGATATAAACAAACAAGTCCAAAGGTTAAGCAAAACAAACATATCCAAAAACACATTAAAATTGATGTACAGTAAAAAAGTTTTGATCAGCCAAATGACTTCAGTTCTCCCGTAACACCAATCATAATGATAATACCAACAACAATAATAAATTTGAATATGATCAGACTCAAGACATTAAGATGAATAGAAAGAAAACAAATTAAAATAGACAAAGGACCCTTCAAAGTCCTTTAGGTGGGACCTATGCAATGTTTGACCGACATGAATGGAATAAGTGATAGTATCAGAATCGGTCTTCTCAAAGCCGTTTACTTTGAGGGGAACACTAGTCATGTCGAATTTCCTTCTGTAAAATCGAGAGGCACGAGTCTCACAATAAGGATACCGATAACCAACAACCACAATGACACTTCGGTGGTATCTGGTCAAACGCATGTACATAGCATTGTTTTCCTTTTTTCACCCGTTTTGTGTCCTTGTACACGTATGAGTGCAATTCCATTTGCACCTATAAATCCTTTTTTCTTTTCCGGGACAGTTGAAAGTGATGAAAAACAGATATAAACAAATATAATGAAGAACCAAAATTTTCATTGTACCTATTTTTAATCATCACATTGTAACACATGACCCCTTATAGTAGGAAAATACGATTATACGCTGCTGAACATGATAAGCTAACAGAGTAGTGTTCACCAACGATATTTTTTCTTGTTGACCACGTCTTAGCGTCATCACTACTCACTACTGGGGAAGTGGAGTTGGCGGTAAATAAATCTTTAAGATCAATAGCTGTGTAAGTCTTCTACGTTTGATCCCTAACGCATTTGATTCACTGGGCTGACCTAACTGAAGGCACTTGATCGCGCATCCTCACCACATCAAGGGTGGACGCACTGTGTTATGCATCTCCTACAACCATTGACCAATTTAGATTGACCACTTCTCGATATATCTATAGACTATCAGTTATATTTTCGAACCTCTTCTCTTCTGACTTCTATTTTGACTGAAATGGCACATTTTGATCATAAAAGTGTTACTGGTTAGGGTGTTGTTGAACTTCAATTCCTTGTAGCCTGTTTAAATTATTAGAAGTATTTCTTGTGCACACACAATATAATATTCAAAATATTATTTCCATTAAAAATAAAAAATACATGAAATTTGCTACTTTTTGTAAAGTTTCATACCTTCATGTCTGTATCTAGTCTATACGACAGTTTTACGTATAGCTTGTTATTACGCACCATTTAAGTTCACTTTTACTATTTTCTGTTGGCGCGTCGATTGTTTGCCACGTTATTTTTCGCTTGCTTCGATTTTAAAAGTAATTATTTCACTATTTGTTGTACCAGATTATTCGAACGATTAATAAAAAATTGCAATCATTTTTGTGTATTCAGCATCGTCGCCAGAACCTCGTTGTATAATTTGTGTCACTCTAGCATGTCTAAGTGATATCGTAATGCTGGAAATAATAGGCAATTTCACTGTTCAGGCGCGTTTTGGTTTATTATTGCAAACAGAAATTTGACTTGACTATGTATATTCTTATCTACAGATATTTTCCCCTTACAATAATGACTTTAGGAATAGCTAATTTCTAGAGATGGTGTATTTTGTGTTATAAAACCATGCAAAAATTGTTTGAAGATCATTCCTGATATTTTTTCCTGTATATATTGTATCCTTCACCGTCTTGGGGTTGTAAAACTTTATGTGTTATCACCTAAAACTTCGCAGACTTTCGCTGATCAAAATAGGTAATGGATATGATGTATTCGGATCCCGTTATGTCTTTTGTTTCCTCATGGATTTATACCCAGAAATTTTGAGTGAAGTCATATGATGAAAAATGTATCGAAAGTGCGTTCCAAAAAGGGCCTAATGGTGACACACTAATATAATCCAGCTCATGTAAATGTTAATTTAATAGAATGACTCAGTAACACAGGGACTCGTGTTCCCCGTTCTGTCTACATCTCACCAATTTGGTTGGTCTTGTTCCGTTCTCAGTTACCGTAAAATTGAAATGAAAATTACTGTAATTACATGCTGATATGGCTGATAAACTTATACCGCTACCTGTTAATTCTATCACTGTGCCATCTTTAACTAGCTGATTAACTATCTTGTTTTGTTTCATCGACTGTCTTTTGAATCTTTAATTACCAAGAACTAAATGGACGTCAAACCATCAGTATTTACATCAGCTATATATCACAAACATCAGGAGCATATCAAATGAATTAGTAGATTAAGTCGAAATTGTTTAGAATTTCAGCCCATTTCTCAATATAAGTGATATAATGCAGAAGAAACTAGTTGACTAATGATCTCAGAGTAGAACTCGATACGGTTGTTTGTTAGTTCTTGTTTCCAAACTTCATATCAGTCCAGTGAGTCAAATTAACAAAGATAAGAACTAAGTGGTAAAAATGACATCGCCGAAAGTTTTATAAAAGTAAACATTGGAACAGCGGTTTGAAAGAACAAATAAAAATCAAATAGAAGTAGCCTGTTTAACATTAGATTTCAAATCTAATTAATGACTTTCTAGAATTCAGGACACTTTCTAACAGTTTCTCTGCTGTCCAAAGTAACATCAGCTTTTGTAAGATATTTTGTGTTTCGTTTTACGATTTTGGCGGAAACTTGGTGGCGCTTGTGAATTAAACCTTCAAATGAAGTAAAGTTTTAATGCACTGAATGACTTTTATCTGTTTACTGAGTTTTGTTTGTAAATATTCTAATGTAATGAGCTGTGTTGTGCTTCTGTAGCAGTAAAATTTGCCATATGAGTTACTTTTGGGAGGAGTTTCGTTTTATAAGCCAGGTGGTTTAACTGTCGATTTTTAGGTGACTATAATTTATGGACAACCTATGAGCGACCCTAAAGTAACCTTGAGAGTGTCCACGTAATAAATAAGACCAAATGAAGATTATAAACCTATATGATGAATTAGAATCATGATTTACAGTTAACAGCTAGGGTTAGGAACAAGATTTATCGTTTTCATCACGAACTGACATCAGCTATAATGTCATAACGGTATTTTGCCAAATGTATGGATGAATTTCACTGTCTATAGAGATCTCGATTACTAAATAGATTAAATCTTGGGTTGAAGAGGAGATACATTCTCAAACATGCTCATGATTAATATGTGTCACCAATTTTGGGGGTATATCTATATAATAAGACTGTAGCGCTATCGATCGTCTACTCAATAATGTCTGCTTTTTCGAGAAAAATGGTTTGACTACATTTTGTACAACCAGCTCAACAAAAAATAAAGTTTATGGAATACATTTCCTCCTCTCTCGCTTCGACATTTTACAGAAACAGGATGGGGAAATTACAAAACAGGGCATTTAGATAAAAAAATGCTTGACACGAATGCATGAAATTTCATAACGTTATAAGCTAGCTCAAGTCTGAAATAAAAAAGTGTTCATGTGATCTAATAGATCACCTTGTTTTATTATTTTGAGCTTATCTCTAAAAACGTAGGGAAGGCTCACGTTCATCTTAGATCAAATAAGTTATAACTTTGGTTCGTATAGTCGGGTATACATACATTTTTGGTGTTGTTCTTCATTTGTCAGCAAAAATCTACAATACATATATTTTCTATTTTTTTTAACCTACCAGTTTACTTCAGTGTGATATCAAGATCCTATATTGCAGTCTTTGGTTCGTATGAACCATGTTTATCCCCGAAGACCAAATATGGATGGTCGTTGTTGGTTTCATAATAGCTTTTATTCTTGCTTTTGGAATTGGTGCAAATGATGTGGCAAATTCATTCGGAACTAGTGTTGGGGCCAAAGTATTAACACTGAAACAAGCTTGTATTCTTGCTACAATCTGTGAATTAAGTGGTTCTGTTCTTTTAGGTAAGTTTAGTTTGGTTATATATACATGTATGTACTTCTTCAGGTGCTAAAGTTTCCAATACCATAAGGAAGGGCATTGTTAGTGTCGAACTTTTTCAAACCATCGACAATGGGCATGTACTCTTGATGGCCGGACAGGTTGCCGCTCTGGGTGGTAGGTCTATAAAAATAGTATTTTTTCCCTATATAATGTTTTTCTGTATTTCAAAAAGTAATCAATTACATTTAACCACTGATGCTCACAGTTATACATAGATCAAATAAAACTGATAAGATAATTATCCGAGTGATAATGAGCTATTTTACTTCGGAAACTGTTGTATATATATATATATATATATATATATATATATCATTCGCCCAACTGTAGCTGCTACCTTGATGTGGTGATCGGGCTTGCTTATCGTGATGACTCAACTGAGCTATATTGGCTGGAACACATGTTTCTTTAGGTCCTGTCATACCAGGGAGGTCGGCTGGAAGACGGTAAGATCAAAAGCAGCAACTTAAGACCCGAGGACGAGGCCGTACTGCTGAATGTAGAGGGATGTGGCAGCAGCAATGTGTTTCCCTCGGACAGCTAGCATCTGTAGAATGCTGCCTCACAACGGAAGGGAGGGTTGACACCGAAAATGTCACAACTCACCTTACCTCATGGATTTCCACATCTGGAGATAAGGCTCTTTGAAGTGATGAGCAAACTCATTAAAAACTTCCCATAAAAAGCCCGTACGCGAGTAGCCTTAAGCAGATGTCCCTTGGGCTCTGTGGTTACACTCCTAGTTCGCCAATATTACCACTAATTCAAGATCCTTTTCGGGTCCCTCAAGACGAACTATCCTTCCACGGTGTGGGCAACCGGGAAGTAACAACCGCTCTACTACCTCTATCAGCACCCGAGATCATTTTATTGACAATCGAATCACTCCTTCATCTCGTAGTAATTCTTCCATCCCTATGACCAACCCTTCTCACTTATCTTTATCACTGTGCTCCACTAACGTTAATGATTTGAATTCACAAAATGTTATTCCTGGTCTCCTGAAACTACGCTCTAAACTATATGTTAGGGCTTTTAATGTTCAAGCCTTGTGTCAGATCGGACAGCAGGCTCCTTTAGCCAGGACCCTGGAATCTCGCGTCATCGACGTGTGCTGCGTCTCCGAAACGCCCATACGGAATCCAAGTACAGTCATTCATTTGACCTCACTTTGTCAGTATAAAGAACAGTGATGATTTGCTTTACAAGTGACTGGGGATCCCACTGCTACTTCCCATGGCCTCACTGGTGTAGGTTTAGCATTAAATCCTAAATTAGAACAGGCTCTCCTAGACTGGACCCCGATAGACAGTCACTTGTGTGCTGTCCGACTAAACGAGACAGCAAGAACTCGACAACCTCATCGATGATATCATCATACCACTACTAAAGTTGTAAGCTCGATTTCGGACGAAACGCACCCTGTAAATCTGCGCAGGCCCTGTACATCTCGAAGTCTACGCCCGCGATAAACGAACGAAAAGTCTGGCTTAGTAGATGAGCAACTGAAACAACTCATTCTCTAATCCGATGCATTCATCGATGCCGGTACAGTAACGACATGAACATGCTCAAATCGTATTATCTTATCTGTACTTTGTCCTTGTGTCAACTCTGCTCACTGATCTATTTGATGTGTCGTTCCATTATAATTATAATTATCATGTTATCATCATTACATTACTGTCATATCATCGCCTAACGTGGGATTATTATTTTTGTTCGTGCTGATATTAACTTACGACATTTATGCAATCATATCACTCACCGAAAAAAGTCATAATTTTACGGTCATTCCATTCACGTTATGACATTTGAAACTCACTGGACTATTTTCTATTATACAATAACGTAAAAGTTTCTTGCCTAAAGTGAGTCTACTCAATTTTTTCGTGTCATTTTTGCTCTATTTTTACACTTATCCACTTAGGCGAAATCATCTTCATGTTATACCATCCATTTTTCATTTCGATATCATTTATTATGTCTGTGGATGCCTTTAATTCTAATAAGTCTTTTGCTAGGATCGATCGTCTTTATTTTGTTCTGAATCATTTATCACACTAATGGCTTAATTATTACCGTTCATTTTTGTGGATATATGGCTGTCACATGTCATATATTTCCGACATGTTTACCAGCTGCTTGTACACCGAACAACCAGCAACATGCTTAGTAGATTGGCGGTCTAGCGGCACACGCATGCATACGAATCGTCAGCCTAAGCAGTCAAACAAACCTTGTGCATGTTGATAATGGCATGGTCGCAACTACCACAACGCTGGCAACGGTTAGCAGCTCTATCATAGGCATAAATCATACTTCCGGCGGTATAAACTTATGTCCTCGAGATGCAACTAATTTTCATCCTTCGCATTTGTACTCAGCAATCGTCATTTCCTACCTTTTCAACAAAAATCTAAACCGAACTCCAGCCATTTTTTGTTTATTTACTTTATTTATTTGAACACATAAATATTGGTACAAGGGGTCATCGAACACATGTGCATTGCACAAGTCACTTGATTTGTGTGTGGGCTGTGATACTACCAGGGTCTCATACCGAAGCAGGTGGCTTTTTTAGGTGGCCACACCCGGAATCTTTGACCTAAAGGTCGATCCACAAAGCAGTGGAGCAACGTTAGGAGATGTAGCCCCATGGTAGCCGGTGACCAACGATTGGTTCATACATCATTTGTTCCTTTAGGATCCTGTAGCTCATGTGCACCATTGGTTTGAAATGGGGGTTTTCCAGCTCCCCTTGGTGGATCCTCCATATCCACTGACCGGTTAAAGCGCCGAACATTCGCTTTTCGTCCTCACAATTTCGTATACAACACCGCAGCCGCGAGAAGGCAGTTAGTAAGACTGTCCTGTCAGTGGCTGTATACGCGTGGCCATGTGAGAGCATTTCGAGAGGGAGAGCGGACTCTCGCCACCCTTGACCGTACCAGGGCATTTGCTTAATCGGTGATTCTTAATTTAATGTCTATACACACAAGTATTTGACGCCGCACTACTAGCCGATTAGTAATGATTGTGTTCATCTTATCCATTCTTTCACATGTATGAATAAATGCTGCATCATTCAATGCTCATAAACATTATTCGATTATTGCAACTAATATTCTATTGCAGTCGCACTCTATATCAGATTATAGAGTTTAGAGCTAATCTCTCAAGGATACACTCTTGTTCATCCCATCGAGGTCCGTATCATTCTCTATCATCGATAATCGGACGTATTGGCATTTTTATTACGCTTTAGTACGGTCTCGTAACAAACGAGGTCGAGCGCATCTCCCTCAAACGACATAAACCACACTAGGCCTTACGACTAAAAAGGAATAGGCCCCGCTGTCACTATTCTGTTCCTCTGGTCATTCTACTAATACATATTTAACTATAATTCGGTACATCTGGTTATAACGCGAATGACAACGTGCACTGACTCCGCATTTTGTAATTATTGTCAATTGCAGTGCAGCAACAAATATCACCCATCAATGCAGTTATCATTTTACGGATGGATTGTGTTTATCTTACGAACAGAAACTCCATGTATGTAAATTCAAATCCACTAATCGCTAATCGATGTTATTTGCTCTACCGCAGCTTATTAAGACATATTCATATTCCACTATTCTTTACCCTTATATTCTGTCGGCACCACAGACCAGTTCCGTCATATTCTACCTTACTTATTTTCGCGATTTATCTCGCTGTCATATCCATAAGCGATAAACGATTTATTACTCTGTATTCACGATATTTTGAATCGCTCACACAAACATGTTATTTAATTGTTCAGATAGTCACGAAATAAATGCATGTCAATTTTTTGTACGCTTAATAGTTTGCTCATAATCGCATGTTAACATTCCACTTTTTTCCGCATATTTACTATATTCAAGTACTTTTTTCACATAAGTATGACACTTTCGTACAATACACTAACCCTTCACGTGACACTACTCCATCAGGTATAGTACTTTTTTGATTACTTATTATTATTATTATTATTATTATTATTATTATTATTATTATTATTATTATTATTATCGTTAACTGCATACATATGCAGTGTTATTTTCGAAAACAAACATTTTTAAAATTAATGTGCTATTTCCTGCAGAGGGGCTTTGTAGGGGCTAGGACTTACCAACCTTGACTGTTTTTATGTAAGCGTATGTGTGTGCATTTGTTATCCGACTAATCACATGTCTGTAACTTATTTTTGTCTGACTATAAATATTGGGTAAAGCTTGGTTAAATTGATTTGGTTCATATGCCTTCTCCGATTCATTTCGCTTCGCCCTCTCCTCTTCGCTTCCTTCGTCCTGTCCCTCTGATTGTCTATTCCGATCAACAATTGTACAAAATATACGTATTCAAAATCCATTGTCGTATTTGTCTTACTTTAATTCCGTTATTCACTAACGCGAGTTAATTCGATAATTATGTAAGAAGATTGGCAACATGTATATTTCGATAGCAATCGGAAACGAACTAATTGAAGTCAGATCTAGTGCCACTAAAAGTGCATTTTGAGACCACGAAATATGCAATGTCTGAGTTAGGAATATAGTACTAGGAAAAGACGGGAAATCAATTGGTGATTTCATAAATCCTCATCAACTGAGGTGTTTGGGACATGTGTTACGTATGCCCAACCACCGCCTACCTCGACGGTCAATGCTTTTCGGTGTAGGAGTAGTCTGGAAGTAAGCCACGGGTGGCCCAAACCAAAACACGATATCAATCCATGAAGTCACTGACAATTGGATTTAGCTATGTTAGTAAGTACAGACTACCTGGTCGGGGTCTGTATGATTATCGTGACCAATGATTGGAGACTTTAAATGACATGGCTCTAAATCGTTTGGAACGGCTCAGGTGCATCCATTCTTTGTCTTCTCCCAAATCTTGAGATTCTAAATGCCTCATAACTGTTTTTGTCTTTAGTTCGCTAACATATATTTTCTTTTCGAGTCGTATCTTCGACGTCTAATCTTTCCTATTACCACTAATACTATTACTACTTCTACTATTCTGGGATTTGGCTTGACAACTTCATCTCTCTGTGCTATTGGAGTATGGCGATTCGGACCGATGTATATGCGTATAGGTTCTATGTTGTGACTGATTAATATCAACTGTCGAATTAAAGTTGTTACCAAACTGTTTAATGTCTTTTGTACAAAAACATTTGATGGCAACTTTTAAATTTTTTCAAATATTTAGTCAGTCTTCAAAGGAGATTTTATAATCCCAAAACAATGACTTACTTATTACAATATTGATAAAATAATTGTAATATTATTTGTTAGTTTTTATCCTATGTTTGAGTGAAACTGTGTGCAGAATCCAACGTAGTTCTTGTGGTTATAGTTTTAATGTCTAGTTGGGACATTTGTATTCTCTGTTCTTGAAAGAAAATATTTACTTTTCATAAGGTGATTGCTAGTTTTCTGTTAAAATAATCCCTGTTGTAAAATAATTTATGAATTTTATAAATTTATTGTTGGTTGCATTTGTGTTAGGCATATTTTTAATGCTATTTATTTTTATTTAATAAAGATGAACCCCTTAGATATTTGTATGCTTGTTTAGCAAATGTTATGATCGTTTAAAGCCTGTAATATTGGGTTTAATGAATCATGACAAACAGTTAAATGTATACATTGCTACTATGTATTATTTAATTTGGGACTAACTCTAACTTTTTAGGATTATTTCAGATATGCAGTATAGTTAGTATAATGGTTAAAAGATAACTTCTTACAGTTTTCTTAATCTCTATTCTGACGTGTGCATATCAGCTACTTAAACTGGAATATCAAGTAGTTGACGTTAAGTAAACGTATTTGATAATAAGTTTCTATCATCATTAAACTGTATTCATAGAATTATACATATATTGATACATTTTACAGAGATACTCACTATTTTGAGTACCATTTTTTTGTTATATTTGTTTCATTTGTCTATAGGTTCTTGTATTTGGCTCTTGGTTGCTACATTCTTCCGTCTTCCAGTCTCTGGTACACATAGTATTGTAGGTGCAACGATGGGTTTTAGTCTTGTTATCTTTGGACTCAATGCTATTCAGTGGAAAGGACTAATTAAAATTGGTAAGAATTTTCTTAAAATATAAAAATAATGGATATGATCATTATTTTTCTCAGCACACATTTGATAATTTAATCAGAATAAATTATTTAGTAGCGATGTTGTTAATTCGATACTGCAGTAAATATTTATTCGCATAGTAAAGGTTGTAAGCTTACTTAAATGATTAAGATTTCATACAAATTCATAACTTTGTAGTTTGAGTCCCATTGCAAACTTGGACAGGATAAATTCTATTTGTTAGTAAAGTTTTGTTACCATTTATAAATGTAAGTAATTTGTCCCTTTATGCGTTAAATCTAAACACATGAATATTGGTACAAGGAAGCACCAGATACATATGCGCTGCACAAATCTCATTTGATTTGCGTGAGGCTCTGATACTGCCCAGGTGCCCAAACTGAAGCGTCAAATGCTTAAGCATTAATACTTCTCACAGTGTCTTTATAGATTAAACTATTTTTCTTATAGGTATCATTACCAAGTTTTGATTTGATAATTTTAAATAAATTGAGCATTGGGTAGATTGTTATAAATAAATGATATATTTGTAATATCCCAATGAGTAGAAAAATTAGATTAAAATCTAATTTTTCTACTCATTGGGATATTACAAATATATTATTTATTTTTCTTATGTTAGCTATTAGTAAAATCTAGTTCCCTTTCAATATATAGATAATTGCTTAGATCTAGACAACTAAACATGACTATCTACATAATGTACTTTATGCACCTTGAGTTTCAATAGTAATCTGCGGAATATTTCGTCAATCACAAGACGTTCTGATAACAATTAAGCTGTGAGAGTTATACTATAAAAACTAAACATTGTTTGTTTTTCCTAATTATCGTTTTTTATCTACGCAAACATTTTTGTCAGTAAGAGGTTGTGGAGATTGTTGAGTTTCATTGAAGTCACAAACCGACTTAAATCAGACAACCACTCGAAAATTAGAAGCACTGGACGGCCCTTTCGTTCTAGTGTGCGACTCCTAAACAGTGTGTACCCATGATCCTAAAACCGGGATTCGAACCCAGGACTTTCTGTCTACGGAATAAAGGTGATATGTTTTGGATTTTGTGTACATACCATTTTGCTTATATATGGTTGTAAGTTTCGGAACAGTTTCTACTGCACACTATGTATATAGTCAAATAGTTTGTTTTTGGATTAAACTTACTTTATCGACGTAAGTGGAATAAGTTTTTTTCATGTTAGGTGACCAAAGTTAGACGGCGTATTTCATCACCTAACTCGACAGTAATTCTGTGTGTTTACTCCGCTGATTTCTATTATTTATGTAGAATTATACGCATGTGCCAATGCTCTTACAATGATAGTTCCACAAACAATGCAAAAAATATAATACACTGAATTGCTTGAAGTAATGTTTCGCTTTTCTATATTTCGAACAAAATTAAATAATGATAGTCGCGGTTTGTTTTTGAAAACCAGGTTAACATAGATCTATTTTACGGTAGAATGAGGTATCTAAGATGTAAAACTAGACTGACAACTGATTCACATTTACAGGAGAACACTAGATACAGTCGTCCGAGTATGATGTCATCGGTACAAAGATATATTTCGTTATATATATATCCTTCAAGTAGTGAAAATCTCATCGTTTCTGACCAGTTTGCTACTTGTTCCATTGTTTATTTGTCCTTTGTTTTGGCATTTTAGGAATAATATTTCTTTTCTTGAACAAACATTCGTGTCTGCTTATATTCTTCGTGTTTACTTCAACACTTTTCTCCTTTTGTTCTGCTATGAAATGCGACAATTAGTTAGTATGTATTTATTATTCATGGTTTGACAATGCTGAGTCTTCACCACCTAATTATGAACAGTACTTGCTGTAATATAAGTGATCACATTGGTTGGATGTGGAATCTATATATTCTATGACGGTAATGATTTATATAACAGTAGACTAAAATAGACTAAATATAATGAAGGGGTTTTGTGGAGATTTTAGTAATTCCATAGTTGAATTCATAAGTCAATTGAAGCTAGACCACCATGGAAAACCTGGACGCATTGAAAGCCCAATAGGACGAAACGGCCGTCCAGTGTTTCCAGGTTTTCCATGGTGGTCTAGCTTCAATTGACTCATGAATTCCACTATAGACCAAATAATATATTTTATTTCTTGAACAGTTGAATAGTTTTATAATCATAATAATGGTGTTATAAGTAATATGTAGAAGAAACATTATACTATTTAAATATTGTAACCTATATTGTATTTCTAGTTTTAACTTTGCATTTTTATTGGTCTTTTTTATTGAAAGCTTCATGACTTTCCCTGTTTAAACAAAAAACATACCTTTTCAAGATTTACTTCACATCAAAAAGACTGTAATCATTTTTGTACATTTTCAGAATTTTATTTTATTTTGCCTACACTCATGTCTATAGCATGACAGTCGAATTAAATATGTCAAATTATTAAATAATAATAGTCAGTCAGTCAGCTACAACGTAGAACCAGGCACATATATGCATCGGTCCAAGTTGCCATACCTCGTTAGCACAGCAAGATGAACACCGGATTCATAGTGGTTAATTTAGTGTTGGTGGTAGTCTATAAATTATAGGTTGTATTTAAGGATATAGTACAGGAAGGAAGAAAGTTATGAAGCAATTTTAATCTCAAGGTTTAAGGGATGATAAAGAATGTATACACCTACGCCATTGTGATCGATTCCGAGCCATGTCACCTAGAGTCTCCAACCATTGGTTACGATAGTCACGCGGACCCCAACCAGGTAGTCTGCATCTGCCAACATGGCTCAGACTAGAAGTTAGTGACTTCAGACACTGATGCCATGTTTTGGTTTGGCCGCCCCTAACTCTCTTCCAACCATCCCCAATACTAGTCATCATAGAGCGTCGTGGCAATCGGTGTTCAGGCATACGTAACACGTGGCCCAACTATCTCAGTCGATGAAGATTCATGACCTCATCAACTGATTTACCATCATTCCCTAATACCCTGTATCTAACCTCACTATTACTTACCCGGTTATCCCAGCAGATGCGAGCAATATTTCTAAGGCATCTGTGGTCAAATACTAGTAGCCTACGAGTATCTTCTACTCTTAATGGCCATGTTTTGCAGCCGTAAAGTAGAACAGAGCGAACTGATGCGTAGTATACTCGTCCTTTAATTGATAGACGGATATCTCGTCTTCGCCATAGGTGACGTAAGTTGGCAAAAGCCAAACGAGCTTTTTGAATCCGTGCTGAGATTTCGTCAGACACCAACTCATTAGGGCTGATCAGCCCCCAAATGCCCTGGTACGGCCGAGAGTGGGGAGAGTCACCTCTCCCTCTCGAAATACTCTCATATGGCCAGCGAATGTATAGCCTCTGTCAGGGAAGTCCTACTCACTACCTTCTTGCTGTGGGGGTGTTGTTTACGAAAGTGAGAGGACGAAAAGCGAATGTCCGGCACTTTAACCGGGTCGGTGGACATGGAGGGTCCACCTAGGGGAGTTGGAAAACCCTGATTCCAAACCAATGGTGCACATGGGCTCCAGTATCCTGATGGAACGAATGACGGACGAACCTGTCATTGGTCAACGGCTACCATGGGACTGCATCTCCTCACGATGCTCCACTGCCTTGTGGATCAGACCTTTTGGTCAAAGGCTCCGGGTGTGGCCCCCTAAGAAAACCACCTGCTTCAGTCTGGGCACCTGGGCAGTATCACAGCCCTCACACAAATCGAATGAGATTTGTGAGGCGCATATTTATCTGGTGCTTCATTGTACCAATATTTATGTGTTTAAATAAATAAATAATAAATAAAGGGCTGATCAGACTTCCAAGATAAGTGAAGTTGTCGACGCGTTCGACTACTTCACTCCCTATCCTTAGTTCGGGTGTTGACGCAGGCCAGTCCTGGAGTAACAATTTACATTTGGATGGGGAGAAACGTGCGTGTTTCGGAGACACAGCATACATCAATGGTACGAGATTCTAGGGTTTTAGCTAAGGAGGCCTGTTGACCGATTTGGCATAGGGTACGTACGTTGAAGGCTCCAATGTGTATTTTGGAGCGAGGTTTTAGTAGACCTTGGACAGCGTTTCGCGCACTAGAATCGTTGGCCATGGTAACACTTGAGGAGGAAACCGAAAGAGGAAGTTTAGTGTTGAAAGTCAAGGTAGAGGGAATAGTAGTAATTGAAGAAGGAGATTGATTATGAATACAGTGGTCTTGAGTGCTGTTAGAGGTATGAGGGCAGTTATCACTTCCCGGTTGCCCACACTGTGGAAGGGTTCTTCTAGAGGTACCTGAAAAGGAAATTGGGTTAGAAGTGGTCTTAATGACCTGAGAGCGTGACCGCAGTGCCCAAGGGACAACTGCTTGAGGTCGGTCACACACGACCTTTTTGTGGGTAGTTTTTGTGTTAGCTCTGTTCTTCAAAGGACCTTACCGCCGGAGACGGATATCCGTGGGATAAGGCGAGGTGTGCATTTTTAGGGCCGACCTTTTCTAACCCCACCCTTCCTTGTGGAAAGGCAGCATCGCTGTTATGCTGGTTGTCTGAAGGAAACACCTTACTGCTGTCACACCTCTGTACAGTCAGCAGTACGACTTCGCCTTCGGACCTTGGGTTTGTTGCTTTTAGTCTCACCGCTCTTCAAACGACCTGCCTGGCATGGTAGGACCTTGAGGAACGATTGTTCCAGCCAGTATAGCTCGGTTGATTCATCACGATAAGCAAGTCCGACCACCACGTCAAGGTAGCAGCAATAATAGTACTTACCTCTCGTGGAGGAGTCTAGGCCACTCACCAGCATTTTTCATCTAACTCTATCCTGGGTAATCCTTTCCAGTTGCTATTAATCCTTTTCATGTTTGCTTCCAATAATGATTATAACTAATTTACTCTTCTACTGATTGGCACTTTATACTTATAAGCATTGAATAAGTATTAACTTTTCGTATAAAATATTCATACCACATAATTTGATAACTTAACTGTTAATCTTACTATTTCTATATATTATATTTTGTACAACTATACATGTGGAACTCTTCATTTTATGTGTTTGTACATCAATATGAGGTGCTATCCTGGTCATATTATAGAACGGTAACGATAGCTATTGTTGTTATTGCATAGAATTGACTTTAATCGTGTAACTTGGTCTTTATTTTCTATGTAATTCCTTTCATTAGTTTTTATAAACTACAAATCAAATATTTTCATACAGAGTTTAGTTAAGTTTCGCAAAATAGTTTTCTTGAAACTTGTAAAAAGCTAGTTATCTTTTTTAAAGTAGGATAAATTTGTTCGGTTTCTTCACTTGACTTTAGATGCATTCATGCTGTTTAGATTTATGTTAATTGAGATAGGTGGTCGGTTAAAATTTTCCCTTATTTCGGAATTAGTTTTCACAAGGAATTAATACAATAATTCACATTTCTCTGAATTTAATCAATTAGCAATAGATAGCTTATTGGTAGACTCGAAAAAGATGAAATATTCTCATATTGACAACAACCAATGTAGACACATTCAAAATGTAATTATTGCATGCTAACATTAACCATCTTATGCTAAACCGATCTACTTACTGATTACAACATTTCTTTTATCATTTGATTTTATTTTTAGCCAAAACATATTTCTGTGCAAGTTCAACTTACAAATGCATTGTTTTAATAATCGTTTAATTTTCTGATGCACACTTTTAATAATTACTATAAATGAATGCTTTGTAGAACAGCAAGGGGATAGAAATGTAATATCCATTGTAAATTATGAAAATGGTGAACATTTCTTTGGTAAAAGTATAGTGTAAGGATGAGTTTAAAACAACTGCGATGAATTTCCATCTAGTTTGTAGACAATCAGAAAATTGATTTTATAAATGGATAGGTTATGTGAAAGAATTGATGTTGATTAATGTAAACACATTTCACGAAATAAATCTATCGATGTCTTCTGAAAGTTACTTTGTTTGTAATTCAAATAAAACAACTACATATAAGCTCGTCCCTGTGAATATAGATCGTCCATCTTTTCGAATACTTTAAAGGACCCCAACAAATTCTTAGGAGTCCCTACATTGTTCCAAGCTAGAGTTAGGGTTTTCATCACGAAATGGCATCAGCTGTAACGAAAAACACTCATTCGCCATATGAATGGATGAATTTCACTCGAGAATACAAAAGTCACTATCTGATTAGTTCGTCCATATAATGTACTGCTACCAGGTTAAAGTTTAGAGTTATGATTATAGGGATAGTGTCGATTTACCTGTTATAAACAATCTACAGAAAAAGGATTGATCATTTGATGCGTTTAGTATCATCATTTTTACTCTATAGTTGCAAAAGAAAATAATTATCTATAATCATTTTAAACGTTTTGAACAGCATACGAAAGTATTTTCACTGTTCATTATACGTAATCTTTGAATTTCTTTCAAAAGCCTAAAACTTGCGCTCTTGACTGTGAGTGGCTCGTCTCCGCACCATACTTTTACCAGATTTCTTATTGATGTTTAAAGATTGTATCTTTATGAATTGTAATTAGAAATTGTCAACTTTGTTGCAAACATTTCATTTGTTCAACATGTAGATTTAATTCTGCCTGTTTGTGTTAAAGTTGGTCACCAATGTTCAATTTTTATCAACATCCAGTTATACATTGGTGACCAGTATTCGTTTCATTAACTCAAGGGTTTACAATGTCATCTATCATTTTTACATGTTTAGTGCTCTGACTGAGGTCTCGTCCATGTTTGGACGAGTATTTTCACGAGAATTGGTTATAAATAATGTCTGTAAAATCTCAGAAATTCCAATGAAATGCATTCATAGTTTGATTCGGCAGTCCAATCTGAGCTTCTCCAGGGAAAAAGTCGAAACTCTCAAAGATAAATGAGGTTGAAAGTAATCCTGACCATGGAGTAATGCCTTTTATAATCACTCTACAAGAGTGACATCCAAATAATATATTCAACATCATATACGGCTGTTCTGATACATTTTTTCACTGAGTGATTCATGTTAATACTGTTAATGTGATCGACATTAGCATGTGACTGAACAATTTTGTGTAAAATAATCTTGATTAATTCCCCGTAGTAAACCGAATCAAGCTGTTAGGTGAATTGTTATAACTATTGAATTTTAATCTCCGAGACTTTCACAAATAGAAATTATACCTTATGCATAGCGTTTATGCAAACATCTTATAACATTACCCCATTAGAGTTTAGATAATATTATAAAAGATTTTGTTTCAAAATATAGATAAACAAAAATAACATACCAATATTAATGATAAGCAAAGAAATTGAGTCTATGAAATTAATTGTTAACTTTCTACTATCCTTCATAAACTGTATGCTCATTAATGATTATATCACATTTTGTTTATTATTAACCTGACATGACTAGTGAGCACCACTGCCTTTTAAAATAGATAAAGTTCATTTAATTGTTGTCTCTTTGTTTTATTCATTTCAATTTAGTTGGATCATGGTTTCTCTCACCTCTTCTGAGCGGTTTGGCATCTATTGGAGTATTTTTCCTAATGCGTTTTATGGTGCTCAGAAAAGTAAGTTTTCAACTATTTTTAATGCCTCGTGTTTGATCTCATGCTCTCTAATTATAAGGAATTAAGTTACTACTAGACTTTTAAACCAAATCTCCGAATATGAATCCCTTACAATGTACACTTACGGGTATTTCTTCAGAAGATGGAAACTAGTTTATTAATTGATGGTGATAAATGTTTGTTTGTTATTGCTTATTACACAAACGTTATTATTCTCTTGTACATTGTGATAAAAATAAGGAATGAACTGTGATTGACTTTTGTTTGTGCCAAATGTACAATCAAACGTTTAAGCAATTGTCCTTGACATGCTAATCCATGACAGAACACAATTTTATACAGATGATAAAATACTTGGCTTTTATTCGTCGTGTGAGTAAGAACATTTGAATGTGAACTTCCTTTTATTACGAATGAAATCATGTTGAACCAGTGACTTTCTAGACACTTAAACTTTTGAAGCTGATAAAAGACGTGACAGTTTTCAACCAACTGACTTACTCTATTTAGATGTAAATATAAGACATTTCTAAAAAAGTATGCGAATCTGTGATATCTGAATTCTCTTTCTCGTGCCCATTTGTACCAGATGTACGTGCAGAAATAAAGAATACATAAATTCTCATCCTGCTATCGCTTTCAAGTTTTGCATTTAAATATTTCTCAGCTGATTATAGAGTTACTTATAATAACAATGTAGATGAATTAAGTGGGCTTGGAAGTTTTTATCAAGTAGAAACCAAATTCATCAATGTTTCATTTTAACGTAATTGAAAACAATGTTTTAAATGAGTGATGCATGCTATCATTTAAAAAAAAATACAGTGATTTACGTTGACCCAAGTTGTCACGCCACATTAACACGATGAGATTGAATTAACACAATAAATAGTAAAGAGATCGAAATGATGTAGTTGTAACAGTAATTAGAGAGATTAAGCATAGAGAATATTGTTAAAAAAGACGGGATGTAAAGGTTTTTGTAAATGAATTCTAGAACTCAAAATCTAGAGGAGGATAAATAGTAAATGGATCTACGCAGTTGTTACCGATTCTTAGATACTTCACCCAGTCTCCAACGATTTATTATTATTAATACTATTATTACTTTCATTATAAAGGGTATCCCAATCAGGTAGTTTTCTTCTACGTGTAAGGTTTAGAGAAATACTCAGTAACTACAGAAATTGATTCCATGTAGTGGTTTGGCTTCCCCTAGATTTATTCCAATCCACTCATACACCAACAAGTATGGTGCGTCAAAGTAGATGGTGTTTAGGCCTATGTAATGAGTACACTAATCACCTTGGTTGATTAGTGTTCATAACCTCATCAACCGACTTTCCATCTTCGCTTAGTACTTGTCGCGTTGGTTGTTATTCAAGCCCTATTGGCTTATTCTAGCTTCCGGACAGGCCAATTTACTTGAGCACATTTTTGACCTCGTTATTTATTCGCTTACCAACCTTGACCGATTTTATGTAAGAGTTTGTGTGTTCATTGTTTATCTTACTCATCACATGTCTGTAACTTACTTTTGTTTGACTATAAATGTTGATTCACCGCTGGCTAAATGGAGTTGGGTCACACGCCTTCTCCACCCCGAATCATTTCGTTTTGCTTCGTTTCTTTGATCGTCTGTACAGATAAACGATCGTACGAAATATACATATTCAAAAATCTATTATCGTATTCCATGATTTGCGAGCAATACTTAGAAGACGCGTATTGTTAAATTTGTCCAGCCTACATTTTGTAGTGGCTTAGCTTCATTAATTACTCACCTTCATAACCGTTTTTATTATAAATGCCAACGGTGTTTGAAATCAGAAGGCATTGTTAAGCGACAACTACAGTTTATTTGCAGATCTCACAGATAACAAAGTTACAAGTACATCGAACCGATTTGGAACGAAGAGGCTGATGTATGTGCAAGCAAATACAGATGCGGATTTATAATCAAATCGACTCAAAGAGCAGTCAAACAAGGTGGAAGCTATTAATAGGACTCGAGCATATATATACATACATAGGAAAGAGAATAATTCACTGAACGATATTGAAGCGATCAACATTTCATTCCGTTATTAACCAACGCGATTCAAGTCGATGATTATATACGAGGATTGACGAAAGGTATATTTCAATAACATTTGTTCATCCGATGTAACTAAAGTCAGATATTGGGCTCATAAATACGCTACGCCTGACCTCCACATCGCTTACTCGGTCATTCCATGATTTTCGAACATCACTTTAAAGACAAGAATGAATAAATTTGAACAGCTTATATGTGTCAGTTATCTTTAAGTCTGTTTTGAAGTCATAAATTAATACAGAGCGAAATGCTTCTCAGTTTACCCCGCTCTCTCTCTGGTCGGTAGATAAGCATCTCACCTCCGCCACAAGTGACGAAAGTTAAAAACCCAACCAAGGTTTCTGAATACGTGCAGAAGTTTATTCGGATACCAACTCACAAGGGCTGATGAAACTTCTAAGCGATGTGGTTAAAGCACTCAGTTACTTCACTTCCTTTGATAAGCCAGGTGATGACGGAGACCACTCTTCATGCAATATTTTGCACTTGTGGTAAAAATTTCAACTTCTTTAATTACTCTGTCTTAAATGTCTTTGAAATTAAGCATGAAAATATGAAGTGATCATAACCAAATCACAGAATATTGATAATAAATAGCGGAAATTGTGAATACGAACTAGCTTATTTCTCTTTATTGCTCTAGTACTGATCACATTTGAACTTAATTCTGAATAATAGATTTCTTAATATTTTGCTAAAGAAATTATGTTTCATCTAGAAGTAGTAATTGTGTCTTTTAATTTAAATTTTTAAAACAGATTTCTCGAATAATGTACACTTCTTTCTAGCTATTATTTATGAGAACAAGTGTTTAATTTTAACATGTTGCATTTATTCCAACTAGCAAATAGCCTTTTTTTCAAATCTTTATGTTTATTTTTCTGTTAACAATTTGAACATAAGTATGTCATTTTATTAGATTAAAAAACGTACTCTCCTGAACAGTCGTCCTGTATTTGATATCAGTTCATTAGTGGCGGAGGGGGTGTATGTCAATAATCTGATCTCATAAGTGTATTCATTACTTGGATATATAGTATCATTGCATTTCCTCTGTCTATTATTTAACAACTACAAACCTTATTCATTTCTTAAATCCACTCCTTAAATTACAACAAGAAACCTAGCTTATTTTAATGCCTTATACATAAACAATAGTCCATTACAATTATATATAACTAAAATAGAGTTGTTACATATATACCTGAAAAATTACTTATCGCTTATCCAAAAGTTTATAACTTCAATATTTATTATTAATTTGAATAATGACATATTTATTGACATGGATGTTTTTCAGTAAATGATATGCTTAAATATCTAATTGATTATATTTACATTATCAAATAATTAATTCAGTCACATGTTGGTGCAATACTATTTATATTGTGCAATGAATACTGTGAATATGATTAATGAAAATGTGTACATATTGACTGAGAAGGGCTTTTTATAATGAATACGTTTATCAAAATTAAAAAACAAACAAACAGACTGACTGACTGAAATTACATTTACATAATTAGTCTTTGTGATGACTTTTTCAAAATCATATACATTTTGATATGACCTAAATTTAATGAATTTGAGATTTTGTATAATTTGCTTTATCTCACACATCCATTCATAAATCTATAATAATCAATATACTAGAATAACGATTGATATAAGTTTTTATCACCATTCAATTGATCATTTTAGAATAAGAATGCATCCATTAAATAATCACATAGAATGCACTTCATGTACATTATTATTGTTATTTTGTTTTTATTTAAAAAATAATATTAATAAATCATTGATGATTTGTATTCCACAATGGTAGGGTTCATGTCTCTCAGTTATTGTAAAGTTTTGTGTTTTATTTGTTTTTGATTAAACATTATACCTGACTTTTTAATATATCATATCTATTCAAATTGTTTAATGAGTTCAATATGATAATCTACATATCGCCAATCTTGTTTAATCGTATTTTTAAACATTCAAATTTCATATTATGTTGTCTGTCTTTATTTTTCGCATATAGTACAGGGAACAAACGATGAAAGTTTGATAACATATTTATGTAATTGCTTTTAGCGTCCTTTAGTTGTAAAAATATGATTTAGATCCGATAGTGATATAAATTTGGTATTAATTTGATTAGTATTTCATCATTAAGGTGAAAAGTTTGTTATTGTGAATACTATCTGTCACTGAGATAATTAGATGAGTGAAAAAAAACAGTCTCATATATATTTGTTTGCTTTTTTCTTGATTTCTAGATATTTCTATATTGATTGAGAAATATTAAACAAATGCATACTTTTAATCAATTATATACTTAAATTTTTCTAGTTTATCTTTTCTAGTAATTTTAACGTCATATTTTCTCATATTTCCTTACTGACAAAACGTTCAATGACTTAAAGCAATACAGATATTTGTTAGATCCTGTAATGTTTTTGAATGGCGGGTAAGCTGTATATTTTATATTAGAAAAGTTAGGTATAAAAATGACCTTGAAAGACATTATCATTAGTCGTTTCCCATGAGCGACAAATAAATGAAATTCAAAATTACCGCCTGTTGATCTAATTCACTTTGAATTTAAAATAAATTATTGTTTAATCATGATAGTAGCTCTATTGACTAGACTACATTACTTGAGTAGTAGATTTCAACCAACAACCCCAACTTTTTAACAATGCAGTGATACCTATCTAATAACGTTTTCTACTTTTGTCATTTTTATCTTCGTATTTAATGAGATTTATTGTGTTGTCAAACTACTCTTCCATTATTTCTAATTTCATTCTTCTACGCAAATCCAACATGATTTATTCTTCTATCAGACAACATTTGTTAGGTTTATTGTAAGTTATTAATCTTATCTCTCCACAAAAGCTCATCACACACC